GGCCAGATTATCTAGGTCACCCAAAATTGTGAAAACGTATATATTTGAGGAAAACTTGTGAGATCCTATGTTTCCTTCCACATTTGCCTTATAGATCATATCCGCACTGGTGACAGCAGCTGCCCAGGCGTGGTGGAAGAGCTTCTGTGTCCGAAGGGTACTCTATCACAGATATAGACAAGGTAGTTGATTGTGTTAGGAGCGTGAAACCGATTGGAGCGAATGAATGGGATTCGTTTTAAAATTTAATTATACTGCCTAGAGTTAGTGTACTATCAAGCGCATGAATCCTCTCAAGAGGCAAAGTGGTCTCTTTGGGCTAAGATGGTGGCAATGCTTATCGCAGTAGGGGTAACGATACCTATCATCGTTTGTGTACCTAGTTTTAGTCAGTAACTGGAGCGTATCCCGTAGTATTATGGGACGTCCCAAATCACCTCGTCCTAGATCTAGGACGTGGTGCTCCACCCGCAGCGCTATGACATACATTCTGAGAAGTAGCTGGCTTGATCGCTCTGCCTGTGGTTGTTGGGCTGACCAACTCTTCCACCTCCATCATAGTGCGGTGCCCCATCCGACTGCTGAGTACTCTCGTCGGGCTGTGCCAGATCATCCGAGAGGTCATTTGCTGATTCCCACGTTCCACCACGGCTATTGTCAATATCGTCGTCATGCTCTGTTTTCTCTGCATTCAGATCCTGGACTTCACGAGCATCGCGCATTTGTTGGCGTTTATCAAACTCTGGAACTCCTTTTTGATGGAGATCAGGTTCCGCACTGCCCTGCCGTTTGCAGACGCGTACTGTTGATATTGCTCCAGCACTTCCTTTGTCATCCCACTTTTATCTTAATCAGCTTATCCTTTAGCTGGTACCGGAATGCATAAAGTAATTCGCTACGGGGTCCGTGCACGAACATAGATTCATAGTCACATGGGATCATAGTCATATGGGATAGAAGTAGCTGAAGATTTCCCACGGTAGACACGAGAAGTCAATATTACTCCTGATCATATCCTCGTAAGAGACAACGGTCCATTTGGTGTGGCAGAAATCAACTGTTCATACGAGTAACAGTTGGTACAGATTTCGCTAGGGTACTCACAGACATCACCATAACGGTAGTGGCAGTCCAGACCAACCAGTCGATACCCGCGTTCAATGTGCACCAACACATCATTGCTAAAGCGACGTTTCCAGTACTCTGTTATTCCTGCCGAATCATCATCATACATAGCTTCGAGAATCACAACTGCAAGCGAACTCACTTGCCATTGTGACTAGTTGACATTGTCGGATGTACGACCTATTACTTTCTTCTTCGTATGCTTTTTTGTATAAAAAACCATATGGTTAACTAACATTTTTCTTTCTCACTTTCTAGAGTTGGGAGATAAATCCTAAATTCATGATATGTTTTGAATGGGATATTGAGTTTTGGAAATCTTAAT